CAGTAACTGTCAGTCAAGAGCTGCAGGATGGATACTCTGAGGTACCACAGAACAGAATATTGGAAAATAATTAATTCAACAGACATGCAAAATTAGGAAGGAAAAAAAGAATACACTAAGGAGAGGGGGAAAAAAGCACTGGTCTTAATGTACTTCTAGAACTGACTTGTTTTCTTTTGAGGACTCGTCATATTTCAGAACTTTCTGCTTAATCACTGCATTTTAAACTACCAATACACAGCAATGGAGCCTATTACCCTGCAATTAGTAATAAAAAAAGAAAGATATATGTTTTATTTCATACAGGTGTTTATTAGTAGAATAGATGTCCCATCAGTCCTATCAATTCACCTGAGCAATGGAATTCACCTTTTCAGATGCAATAGAGATGCAACACATCTTTATGTGTTGTGTCTCCAAGCAAAGAACACTGGCTTGACTGACAGGCAAGACAGTCACCATGACATTTGTGTGTACTCACCTTTATATAGTAAATATAAGTTAGGTTTTATTAAATAAGCTCACCAAGTCAGACTTTTAGAATTGATTTTAAATGAGATTGTTCTTGCCGTGGAACTTTAATAAATCTGGACAACAAACACCCTATTGAAGCAGAATGTGAGGTGATACAACACAGCTGATCTGGTACAGATGTGTACAGCTGTTTTTATTACATTATATAAGAAGTAAAAGGAAATGGGTATAACAATGTATACTTTAATGACATCAGATGCATCCCATCACCCCATTCTTGGCCATCAAGAATGTAAAATATTATCTGCAAAACAGGGTTCTTGACTGTGGAATCTAACACACATAATGATACCCCAGTTTCTGGCCTTAGTGTGGCATCAGTTCATTATGCCATGATCTTGTTTTAAAACTGAGTTAAACACAGTTAAACAGTCTTTCTCATTGTCGCATGATTCCCATTATTAACTGTCCACTTTGAATAGACCAGCTACCAATGCTTTTCCCATAAAGCAGGAACATTCTAAAGGGACACCAAAAACCAAAACCAAAACTATTTCATGACACACAAAACCCAAAACTACTTCATGAAAATTTCCTATCTTCTGTAGACACAAATATTTCAAAAAGTCTCATGCTACCTGTGGAAAGAAAAGAAATAGTGCTAAAAAAAAAAGGATAAAAAAGGATTACAGCATTCTTCCCAATTATACTTTTTTTTAGTCAATTCAACATATGAAAGGTGGAGGGTCATACCCTTTATATTCATCGTAACAGAGATGAGACATACAACATAAGAAAAGGAAATTTAAAATACACTCCTCTGCCATGATGTTTTTATCTGTTTCATGTGAAACCTTGAGATTTGACTGTTTGGCCATGTAATAGAGAAGCAAGTGTCTATTTCTTACATTTGTGAACTTGTATGTGAACGTAACAATAATCAAGGAAATGAAAAATCCACTCCCCGAATTTGCCACGTGCAGTATCTGCTTTGTACCACTGCCTTGTGGAGTGAAATGGGAGCCAGAAAGTTTTGACTTTCCCAGCTGCAGTTTATGAATGTTTTACTTATTCATGTAGGGACAGGAAGAGGTGAACTGCAGGCCTGACTAAGATTTCTATCTAAACCTTGAATTCCACTGTGTACCTAAGCCACATGTTGCCAATTCATCCTCCTGGCATGGCAACCAGTAAAAGCCAAATCCCAATGAATTCCAAATAGAAAATGAGAGTTATAATTTGTAGTAAAATCTCTACTAGCTGGAGGCTACATTTGGTTTCTCACACTGAAAAGGAGCAGAAGGCTTTATAAGGATTGCCTAATTTTCATTTCTTAAGACGCTATCAAGTCAATTTTCAGCCGAGATCAGGACATTTGTAATTTCATTGTGGACAGTGAAAAGATTGGGAATTGAAAAGAAATGGGCAGTGCTTGTTCTCATTACACCATCAGTTTACTACCTGTCATATGGAAAGATCTAGCAGGGAGTTGATGCTGCCTTTCCAAACTCACCTGCCTAATGATGGCTCTTGCAGGAGCTGACATTTGCTGTAATCAGAGGAAACATGACCATGCTTCCACTCTCATCTTGGCTGATCAACCAGAGAAGCCTCTGGCTGGTGCCTTGAAATATTCTAATGTCTTTGTGCCTCTCTGCTATGAAGTCTATATAATTTTTTCTCTGAATTTATGGAAATTTTGTTGACATCATATTTCTTAGTGCCTATTTGAAATATTCAGTATATTTTGAGTCCAAAATTAATTTATTTCTCAACTACTTGCTATTATACTCCTAAGTGTTACTATTTACATCCATTGCATGCAGTTGCAATATAGAAAACACAATTAATTTTCTATTTTTTACCAATTCAAGAGTTCTTTTCATCACTGTCAACTCAGAGAAGGGGAGCTTTATTTCCCTTTTGTCCCACAATCTTCTTCAATTTTTTCTTTTGTTTTTCTGTGGGGTCCTCTTCCAGCATTTTTTGCATCATCTTTCCACCACTATTAATGTACTACCACCATTCTGAGAACTTCTTATTGTTTCATCTGTCCAAATAATTACCACCTTCTTATCAATACCCATCACCTTTGATCCTTAAATTTTAATTAATAGATCTTATCTTTCTAACGATTTTCCAGACAAACCTACTTTCACAATTACTGCATTAAAGGAAAGCTGCCACATTATGTACAGTCAACAAGTCATTTTTAATTACTTTTTCTTTCATCTTATTAACTTGTTGCAACATTGAGATGTTTGGATAACACTGCTGGAGTTACAGCATCTTACACACTTTTTCAGGTACATTTGTTTCCTCGTGGTAATGCTAATGGGTCTGCCTGTGCTCCTATTGTCTTCTCTATATCAAGAATATTTTCATTAAGGAATCCTAAGGGTTGTTTCCTTGACTCTAGTTTGACAACTGTCTTTCCTTTTTACTTAACTAATTAAAATCCACATATATATATATATATACACACACACACACATATATATATACAAATATATATATATATATACTCTAAGTGAAAAAAAAACTTCAATTACCCTGCTAGTGCTCATTAAAAAAACCTGTAGGTATTTGTTAAGTGAAATTAAATATACACAGCTTTTTTTTAAAAAAAAAAAAGTATAACAGGATGAAGACAGCTTTCAAGTTCATGATGTGTTTGCAGAAAGAAGTTAAAATTAGCTGTTTAACCTCTTAGACAAAAATTTATTTTATTTTAAAAAATCAAGATGACAAGACTATTTGAGATGGTACTTTAATTTTAAGATAAATTATGTTTTGATATAACAAGTAAAGAGTCCTTTTTCTTCTCTGCGTACCATGTTGATACTTGCTGCACATGAAGACAGAAATTAACCTTACATATGTGTAGCCTTTTCTGACTCTACTCAAAAATATTATTTACCTATTTCATTAAAATTAGGTCATTTCATTTAAATTAGATTTTCCCTAACTTATTTTATGATAAAAAAACTACAATCCTCTCTACATAACGTAAGCCAAAATGGAAATCTGTTTTTGAATTCAATGTTCCCTAAAATTTCAGACATCCACAGATAAGTAAACCTTTTTCTTCTCCAGTATTTGACAGGCAACAAGACCCTTCCAGTCTCACTGCTAATCAAATCAGCCTCTCTTTCCAGTTTGACCTTTTGACTGAGTTTCTTGAAGTGCTCCACAGTAATTCCTTTGGAGTATAATGATCGGTGCTGATGAGAGATGAATGCATTATAATTGCAGACTGTCCTGACAAAGATCATGGCCAAAAAGCTATTCAAGCCAGGAAAGATATTTTTGCTTTACACAGGAGTTCTAATGAAGAATAAAATGCCTTGTTGACCCCATGTGCCAAGGGTACCAAAACAGCAGAGATCCCTAAATTATATGTTAGAGTGGTGGAACATTTTAACTGTTTTTTATATACTTTTTGTCTTTATTTTTACAGTAATGAAAGCAAAGAGGTAAGTTCACCATAACAGTGAAAATGGAACCAATTAACTGCTTTTTTTCATTAAGCAGTATCTTATTCCTTCTTTTGAGATAGGAGCATATCTTTGCACTCTATGCATCTGATGCTAAAAAAAACTATTATGAAAATTTCCAAATGCAAATGCTAACTTCATCTATTGTAGCTTCACTTATACTTACCCATATAGTTGTTATTATTGTTAGTATTGGTGGTATTATATTATTTTCATTAATTTTTTACATTTGTGCATCTTCTCATGAAGAAAACAGAAAACAAAATAGAAGTATCTCCTTCCTTTGTGAGTTACACTCAGCACAATTCCATATAAATAAAGTTGGACCAGAGAAAGGGAACAGAGAAATATGTTCGCTAACTGAAGATTTGGTGTAAGGGAGGTGAAAGCACTTTTCTTCCTCAAATCTCCCCTCTTGAAGGTAAATTTACAGCTTAGTCCTACACATATTTTTCCCCTTGTATGAGTAAGCAATTTTTTCTTTCTTATGAATCAGGTTGCTCTGTTTCCCCTTAACATGTTTCTTTGTGTGGAACTTATCATTATATAATTAATAGTGGTCATACACAACATATACATACTTAACTGTACAGTGTACTGAGTTTTACCCGGTAATTTTTATTCATATTTTTTTAAATAGTTGTGCAGATACTAATTTTTTATGACTGAATTTGTCAATAGGCCAAAAAAAACCCAACCATACATTTTAAGAATTTTGGAACATTGATTTATTCTGGTTAATTCTGTAAAGGATAATGATAACATTTCTCTTTTATAGTAAAATTGGTAAGACACAATCTGAAGAAAAGTATATATACCTGCATCAAATAGGTAAATTTGAAAAGATTACTTTGGTGAAACACTCTAATTCCCTTTGAGTTGAGAAAGTAAAAACACCAAGGTACTCTCTAAAGAAAATCTGATGAGAATTCTTCAGGTAGATAATGAACAGCTACCACACAAAAATAAAGATAGTTCAAGTGAGAATTAGGATTATAAATTTAAAAGCCCAAATGTTCTTTTTCTTACCTGCTGGTTTACGGGAAAATTCCTGTTGATTTTTTTAATCTATAAAAATGAATAAAGAAATAGATTAATACTCAGTCACTAGGATGAGAAACAAAACAAATAAATCCAACTGGATTTTAGACACATATATTAGACTCTCCCTTCCAAATTATGCTTGCAAAAAAGAAAATAAAATCTCCTGCAGTAAAGGAACTGAAACCTTTGGCAAGCTCATTTGAACAATGGGATATTTCTGTGGTTACTGTGGTTCATTTTGCTGTTTAGAACCCAGAAGTGGTGCATACACACAAAATTAATTCTAAATTCTGAAACAAAGTGCAATTTTCTTTTTTTTCCTTCTTCTTATTAGAAGATATAAACTAAACTAGAATATTAGACTCTAAATAAAATTATTTCAGAGCAACTTACTGCCAATTACCAAAGTCATCAATCTGTAGGCAAGTTCCTTTCCTTAAGGAATGATGAAATTTTGGGTTGGAACAGCTTTGGAAACAGCATTTACTCTACCCTTTTACCCTAGGTGCAAAATTAAGTATGCAAAATCAGTTCTGATAATTGTTCAAGTAATTTTTTCTTAAAGCATTCAACAATATCCCTAAGTGAAAAGGAACAAGAAAAGCAGGCTGAGATACCTAATTCCCTGATGAGTTTCTGTTTAGCCCTGCAGTTCATGGACTCCCTATGAACAAACATTGCCAGCTTTCTGACACAAGTGTCCAATACAAAGAGAATTATGTGTAGAACATACCCATTCCTACCATTATTAGAAGAAAGATGTTGTTTTTTAAGCATAAGCTGTGAAAGCTTTTGACAACCTTTTAAATCTAAAACCTTGTAAATCATGATAATTACCTAATACCTAGAAAAAAAACATATTTAAATTGAAGATATTGCCAACTAGGTCTCTATATGGAATGTAACTGAATGATCTGGGAAGCCCTGAAACCACAGTAAAACATAAAACTTCTTCAACCAACCTGCAACATCTTTTTAGAAGAAAAGAAGAATCACCACTGAATTTCCTCCAGTGTTTACAATATTGTCCCTGAACAACTACATGCAGAGATGTGAGTGGCAATGTGTTTTGCAGGCTTCAGAACCAGGCTGTAGTAACAAGCTCTTTGAATTCCTCATGCAAATACTGAGCAAGTGCCACTGACATCCCACAATTTTGCTATCAAAGGATAATTCCCACTGTCAAGGACATGCTGGCACACAATTTCAGTTGGTTTTCAAATGTATCCTCCATCAAAAGTGTCAGAAGAACATTTCCACCCTTCCTTCTTTCTTCAATGCTAGTTAAGGAGAAGCATTAGAGGAACAAGGACATTCAAACGACAAAGAAATAGTATAACATTAATCCATACAAGATACCAACTATCTAATGTGATTTTTAAAATAAAAAGCGGATAAACCCCACATTTTTTGACCTAAAAAATACTTGAAGACTTCTGGGATTTATTCCTAAACCAAATATTAATTAATCCAGCATGATAAATTCCTGTTTGGGTTAGTAGAATCTATTAAAGTCCTCGTGAAAATGATGTATTTTAATCTAAGCAAAGACTTCAGTTAATAGCCTGAAAATTTTAAGGCTTGAAAGTACAATGTTAAGAAAAAGAAATTTTACTTTTCTAAACAAAATACTGTAAATATTTACTTAGTGGCAAGTTACAGTTATATATCAAATAATTTAGGAGTGTTTTTATTTACTTCAAACATACAGACTGCATTTTTTTTACAAAGTACATTAGGTGCATTGTGTGCTGTTAATGTTCTTCTAAAATGTAAATACGTACTTGAAACATAATTTTCTCATTCAAAAATTTCCAGCTCATTTTCTAAAATACAATCTAAGCACCTACATTACATGGTTGTTTTAACTGCTGTTATTTTGATTAACTAAAACAACTATGTTTATCTTTCAGGTAATAAGGTGATTTCTTGAAATGTATTATTTTTAACTCTTTTACAGAAACTTCAAAACTGTATTAAAGTTGTTCAAATCTACCTGAAATTAAAAATTGTTAAGTATGATTAATCTTAGGAACACCTAAATGTTTATCATTCATGTGCATCAATATTGAACATTACAGAATTAAAAAGTTCAACAATTAGGCAGCATACATATGTTCTTCCCAGCCTTTTACAATATATATTGAGTAAAATTTAATCTCCAGACCTAAATTATTTGGTGATTAAAACCTAAAAGTAAACATTTTCCAGAAATTAAAAAAAAGAGAAAAACGAATGTAATATTTCTTAAAAAACACGCCAGCAGATATTATACTAAAAAGACATTCTGAGAATATTCTTTAGAAAGATGTGTTTGTGCAGAGCAATTAAAAATCAGAATGGCACAAAAGGAGACAGAAGAAGCTAGATAACAGACTCTTGTCTGAAGACAAACACAATGTAGGCTGATTTGAAGTTAGCAAGAACTACCTGCTTCTGCTTCAAGCACAAAAAAACAGGTGCTGAGGGATGATATTCTATTCTGATTCAATTTCCATTAATGCAAATTAGGAGGAAAAAAATCTAAGAACACCATAGAGAAAGTAATTTGGGAAATAACGATCAACTCAATGTGGAAGGAGGAAGGAGTCAGAAATAAGGTCTCTGCAGTATCCTGCATCTGACAAGGAAAGAAATAAATGGTGATAATACAAGACCAATAATGGTATCATAGAAACATAGAATGGTTTAGATTGGAGGGAACATTAAAGATCATCTAGTTCCAACCCTGTACCATGGTCAGGGACACCTTCACTAGACCAGATTGTTCAGAGCTCCACCCAGAGCTCTGGCTTTGAAAACTTTCAGGGATGGGAAGAATATATTTTAGTGAAAGCTATCAAAGAAGATTGGTTCAAAATATAAGTGATTGTTAATGGTACAATAAATTTTACTAGATATGTTCCAAAAATTCATCTCACAGTATGTTTGGATATCACAGACAAGAAGAATACTGGGCAGGGAGATGATTTGAAGTGAAATGACATGATGAAAAATGTCCCATGGCCAAATTCAGTCATTTTTGCGCACTAGATGTTGCAACTACAGATGGGTATTTTCACAGTAATGGCTGTGCCTGCTCTGCAGAGGAAACAAACAAGAACATGGAACACAGCACTTCTCAGCAGGAACACAAATGAGCAACCCTTGGCTTCAGGTGTGCACAATGATTGCAAATGTTCGGGCTTTTTAGTTTTTGTTATTTAAAAGTCTTCGTGCCAGAGAAGCAGTAATACAGAAGAACACTGTTCCATACTATTATCTTTTCCCATTAATTGTAGCCTATTATTGTTGCCCTCTGCTGAAATGCAGCTGATTAAGCTCATAAAAGCTGGGTTTTAAAATTTCACAATCAGTTAAAGCTGAACTGAATTGTTCACTCCTCTGAGAGATACCATTTCAGACCTTCTTGGGGCCAATAGCACAGCAATATTTATTTTCAGTTTCCATATGAGGATTTTAAAGTGTAATTTGAAAACTACTATTTATTAGGAGTTTTTTCCCCTTTCTTATCTATTTATATTAATGAAATTTGCTATTCCCATTTAATCACAGGATCCTCATGAGATGATCTGGAAATGTATCTTTCAATACGCTCCAAGTACTCTTAAAAGTAGTAAGATCAAGAGATTTCAGGTTTCTCCAACCCTTAAAAATTTAAATAGAAGCAATCAGATGTTTGAAAACTCTATGTATACCACACTTGCTTTGATCCTATTTCATGATAAACTATACTGTAAATTAGACTCAAAGTTCTAAAGGGATAATGGGAAAGAGGATTAATAGACAACTAAGATTCAGATAATACACCTGGTCCTCTAGAAGAAAGAATAAGAGTAGGTGTTAGTTGTTAGGACAGAGATCCTGGCAGAGACAATTCCATTGGAGTACCTAGGGGAACAGCCAAGGAAACAAGTGGGCACCAGTGCCTGCTCAGTCTTTTGCTGACTTAGGCAGTAAATAAGATACTCCCCACACTTTCACATATTATTTGATCTCTCATTTTCTTGCAGTCTGTAGATATCACATAATTTTGCAGGTCACAGTCATTTTCCAATTTAAAAGAACCTTTTATTATTTTAATTTATGCTAGCCATTTTTATGGATTTCCACAAACAATTTAGACTCTCTAACCTTCTCTATCAGTTGTTTGCACTACACAACTGCTGACTCACATTCAATAACAGGTTATTAAAATAGAATAGCTTGAGAAGAACATAAATTCATTACATAGTTGCTCATCTCATGCATAGAGATGAAGACAAGCAACAATACAGTTTGTGCTATTGGGATGTTAAGTGATTTCAAAGAGGAAGCCAGATCATTAAAATTTGGAAGAAAACACGAGTTCATGCTGTGATAATCTTATGTCAATGAATAAGAAAGAATACATAATACTTCAAATTGCCGGTTAGCTAGTCTTTCTGTCCTTGCTAGGTTTTTATTTACTCAAAGGGATGGGTAAGTTGTGGGAAGAATGTGAAATTTTTTTTGTCCAAGAGTTTATTCACATTGAAAGAATCAAATACGATTTGAAATAAGCATGCAACAGCCCCCACAAAATACATCTTATATTGGTGAATGCATTCAAATATATGTAATTGCTCGTAGAAAAAATATAGCAATTCTTGGTGCTGGTTTTGCAAGATGCAGTAGATTTTAGAATTCACACTAAAAATCTGTATAAGTTAAGTTATGCAAAATGATCAGTCAATATGTTCTGGAATATATGGGAGCATAGGAAGTATTTAATTCACATCTGCCTCTTGACCTACCAGTGAACGGCACCATTCTCTGTCATGTGTTGATGATATTTAACCAGCTGAATGGTTCAAAGGATAAAAGATTAGGATTACTTCCATCATTCCTACCATTTTCATGTCCTAGTTGGATTTTTGTCAAGACTAGACACAGTGGATGGCAAACACACTCAGCCTGAAGGAACTCGGCACCAACTTCCTTGAAGGAAGAAAGGGAAAAACTCCAGAATGTACGAACAGTTACATAGAGGAGAGGCTTGATTT